ACCCGTGAATAAATACAAAACCATCCTTGCGCAATCGTGAGAGGCGTATCTGAATCTCTCTCTTAGATAATTTTGGTGAATTTAGTTTTTAAGCACTGGGATGAGGGAAAATGGCAACAATTGAAGGGGAGATTCGAATCGCAACAAGGCTTGTCTCGTATGTTGCGGACACAATCGTGGACCGCTTTGGAAACACCCAAACTGAGGAAGGAACAAACGAGAGAGAGAAGAGCGGCGCCCAGTATTCGCAACCACGATTGTTTTCATGCGAAGCAAAACTACATTCGATCAAGCTAGATCTGCGTGACAAACAGTAAAACAAACAAATCCAAAGACCCTCACGATTTCAGAACCCTAACCACACAACACCAATCGGCAATTTCACCAGACCCTTTAAACAACTTTATTCCTATTTAGTGTAATGGCACGCAAGATTTTAAGATTTGGCGAAGCAACTTTTTGTTTTTGACTTTAAGATGAATAGAAACTTATAAAATGAATAGAAACTTTTAAATCCATCTCAAAAAACAAATTTTCCTTCATTATTGCAAATTAAACTATCTCCCTAAACATTTTTTAACGCCTAACTAAAAACACACAATATATACTTATATATAATAATTTTTTATGAAAAATTATAACATCCAATGCATTATAATATTAAATATAATTCATTAAAGATATTTATTTTTGTATTATGTATTATTAGACACATATTAAAAAAATTATAAATAAAATATTATTTTAAAAAATATTTATTTCAATCTTTAGAATTAAATTTAGACATGTAAAATTTTATAAAAAAATATTTTTTACACTTTTATAATTCTAAGGTATAAATATTTATTTTTAATGCTTACAAATTTAAGGATTAAATTTAAAAAAAAATCCTACTTTGTATGATCAAATCAAATTAATTGTTTACCTAATTATTGATTCAAATTAAAACCGCATAACTCATGATACAAATGGTTCCATTGCGGAGAATTTTGAAGTCTACGTCGCATAGGCCCAACGTGAATTCCCCAATCATCTAAAATGGACAACATAAAGAAGCATCGACAGCATTAGATTTTTAATTTGGTGGGCCATTCTAAAGAACTAAGCCCGTCTCCCGCGTATAGGCCCATTTAGATGTGTTTATCATTGTCATTTTGTAAATCGGTGAGTTCTACATTTTTTTGGTTAAAAGTTCATTGAATATATGTTTTTTATATTTTTATTGATATATGCATATAATTAAATTTACATACTAATAAATTTTTATTTTCATTCCTTTATAATAATAATAAAAAATTACATGTAAGAGTTAGAAATTTTCTTATTTATCAAATTACACAACTTTGTTATTATTTAATATTTTTATATTTTTTCAAATTATTAATTAATTTAAAATTTGTGTTTTATGTTGAAAAAAAGTATATTAAATTTAAATCATTTACACTCTCAAATTAATTTCTCTTAGTTAGTTTTAAAAAATTATTATTTTTTAAATATAAGCTAGTTATTTATTATTTAAATCAAGTGTCTATGTTAGAAGTAAAATTTTAAATATTTTAAATTTATATTTTAAAAATTATATAATTTTAAAAAATAACTATAGTCTTATTTATAATAAATAAACATCTAATTCATTTTAAAAAATAATTATATGTCATAAATTTATATTATATTCGAAGAATACTTATGATATAATAAATGAAGATATAAAAAAATTTAACAATTAATGCATTTAAAAATATATTTTTTATTAATTTATTAAATACTTTTTTTTCTATTATGTGTTTATAGGCACATGTTAAAAATATAAAATATATCTTATTAAATAATTTTAATTACCATAAAAATTATACATTGAATATTTTTATAATAAATGTTTTTAATAAAATATGATATTTTTAAATAGTTAATATATGTCATTAAACACACATGAGAAAAAATATTTATTAAATATGCTCTAAAACTTATGCATTTTTTTTGTTGTATTTTTTTTAGAGTCGACTCTTTGGTGCAAGATTAGTTTGTGCAAATAAAAGAAATTCGTTAATTGAAGTGATAAAATATACTTAAAAAAAAATACTAGAACACATTTTTAATTATTAACTAGAGCTTATTAAAAATATAAAAATATTTAATACTGGTTATTTCATGATTTTTACTTTTAATTTAATAAATTTTATAAATAATATATTAAAATAATAGGTTAAAAAATGTGTTTTTAACGATTTTTTAAAGAAACTTATATTTGCGACAACCTTTATAAGTTTATAACTGTTTTTGTTTTTCTTTGGAAAAAATAGAAGTTCGTTTGATTAATTTTAGTAGAGTTTTTCTTATAGTTCTCTCTCTCTTTTTAATATAAAAGGTTAATTTTGTTTTCTGAAACTTCTTAAGATTTGTATTTTACTTTAAGAAAAAGAAGGCTTTAAATTGGGTTAAACGATACCTAATTACCTAAACATATGTAAACTTAATCTTCTCGTTTATCTTGCGTAATAGGAATAAATAATAATTAGATGATTCTAATGGAATAAATAAATTAGTTAAAGAGGATAAAACAAATTCATAATTTATTCGTACACTAATCCTTTCTGTCGTAACTATTTAATCAATGCGATAAGCCGTCGAAGTGACATAAATCCTCATTAAGGATTTGGAATTTCAAACTTACATCATATTTGACTTTCTTTTGGTTTAACGGTAAAATTAACGTCTAATACCAAGATTCACATGTTTGCTTCTTAATTACATCATTTATTCGAGATTAAACTGTGAGAAATATTATGGTGATTCTTTCATAATATGCGTGCTCTCATTTATTTTTTAAAAATCTGTCTAGAAGGGAGTAAAATAAATCATATTTAAATAAATAGTTATATTTAAAACATGCTCCGGTTTAATTTATTTTTAAGAATAATTTTTTAAAATTTAAAAAACACATGACTTTTTTTTTAAATGAATCTCAAAAGTAAATGAGAACATGCATATTATAGAAGAATTAAAATGGGAGATCCATAATTACGTTGTTTTATATAGTTGCGTTATTATTAAATTATCACAAAGTATAATAATTTATTACTACGTAGAATTAAAATGGGACGATCTCGTGAAAATTGACTTAGGGAGATGCTAATATGTGGCTTGTGAAAGGGAGGGCCCATAAGATAATGTCTTATCTTACATTCAATAGCATCGTTAAGTAAAGCGTTTCATACGCAGATTATTGTATCCTTCTTTTCGGTGATTCTCGTTCAAGTAAAGAGTTGAGACCTTTTCATTAAATGTTCATCTTTTAGCATTAAGTTCAAACCTCCAAAAGGAAAATTTGTAATATAAAACTCACAAAACTACCGCTAGATGGGTACCCCCACTTTAGCACAAAACCACTTGCGTTGCATCCTAGAAGTGATCACGTGCATGATGCACGTGATAAAGGGTATTGTCTTAGCTGTGTGACATGATCAATTCTCTGACTATTGGAATTGAAATAGAGGCTCCATCAAAACAAAGCCATGTGCATGGCCTCCTTTGAGACCACTAAAGATGACCCCCCACAATCCCTATTCTGTCTTTAAAATTATTATATGGTGAGCACAATTCACCACATACCCATGTTTCATCAAGTAACATCAACAATCCAAGCTCCGTATATATCTTTATCTTTGGCTCAAGCCTTGTTTCCATGTCTCCAACAATGTACTCTTCCATGGAATTTTTTGTTTTATATGTTGATTTGTTTACATATCCAAAATGATGGAAATAGCTCTTAATAAAGAGTTAGGGGGTTCATAGAACAATGGGACAGGTTGGCTTATGATATTTGAGCTTCGGTAACTATAGTGTTTAGCACAAAGTTGTTGAACATATTCAATTAATAAATAATTAGTTCTTGCATCCTAAAGCACGTTACAAATTTTGTTAAATGTGTGGTCTCTGCAAATTAATAGTCACGCAATTGACTATCAAAGACTAATTTAAACAATTAAACACCTTTCGGGACAATGAATATTTAGATTTGGATAAGCAATAGTAAGTAGCGGCTTGAGTTTCTAGGTTTTTGATAATTTACTTTCAAGAAGTAAAACAAAATTTTGGATAACTTTTTTTCAGATGAATCTTTTTATGGAAAACACAAAAGTTAAAAAAAAAAAACCCTTACAATTGCTCATTTTTCTTGATTTATAAACAACTTTATAGGGTCTAGAAACAGCACCAAAATGACAACCAACCCCTAATCCCTAAAACCAGCCATAAATCAAGGAGGGATAAGGATACTTTGTCTTAATCGTGTTCTAATTTAGTGAGAGTTATTGAAGCAAAGGCAACACAGAAAACTCCATATGCAAAAGAATATTAGGAATGAAAATCTAATTACAACCCTCTCACCCCCCACCCAACTCGTAATTATTTGTTTAATTAGACAATTAGACAATGATAATCACTAATTAGAGGCATAGCTTTGGCGGGGTTTCTGAAGTTGATAGAACATCTAATCCCTCTCATAGCACCACTCTACCTTACTTATTAATGTCAATAAATCCTTTATTTATTTACTGCTAATTCACGTCATGTTGTTCCTTTATAAACTTAACAAACGAAAACCCACATAACATCTCAAATCTCTCTTTTTCCCCTTGTGGGTCTTGGTTCAATGTTGAATCTTGGCACCAAAGTTTCAATCTTTCTTGTTTCTTAAGCAGCCACACAGATCTGGGGCAAGAGGGCACCTACCCAATAAACCCACATTGCTGTGTAGCCTCTAATCTTATGCCCCCACACGAAATTATTAAATTTAATATTAATATAATAATAATAAGTAACTTGTTGCATCTAGTAACTTTGACAAATCTTAGGTGTCAGACTTTTAGTGGCATTAGGTGATTGTTTTGTCCCTATGGTAAAATCCTCGTTGGTAATGTTTTGGTTTGAATTTGGTATTTGCATTATGCAAGTGTCAACAATATCTATAACGAGGAAAATACAAAAAAATAGTGCTATTTTTAGCTACATTATTTTTCTAGCTTGTCTAAGCATTGGGTTTTTTAGGATTCTCTTTTACTCTTCACTTTTGTCAGTCCTTGGGTTCTGAGTTTTTTTGGGGTTCGGTATATAGTAGTGCCATTGTTTGAAATCAGCATCTTTCTGGGTCCTCCTCCTTTTCCCATCTTCCACCTCTTCTCAAATTCGAATTCTTTCTGCTCGATCCGTGGATTTTCCCGGTTAAATTTTCCAACTTTCATCTCTCAGCAAGGTATGTCATGAAAAGATAAAGTATATTTTTTTTAATTTTTTTTCTAACCTGTTTCTATCCCATCTTCTTTTCTTTTCTTCTGTTTTGAAAATGGAGAAGAAATGCTGGATTTAGTTGTTTCATTTTGTGAAAAATGTTTTAGTTCAGTTGAAAGGACTCTTGTCAGATTGAAAGTTTGGCTTGAACCACATAAATTTTTTAAACAAAAAAGAAAAAAAAAACTTTCTTAGGACCAAACGCATTGTTTGATGTTTTTATCTTGGAGATCTAGCATTTTTATTTCATTATTTTGGGTCATCATTGACTAACTTGGAGTTGCAAATTATGAGTCAGTTCATAGTTGTAGATTCATGGTACTAGAAGCTCCTATTTGTGCAATTGTTGCCTCTGGCGGCGGAACCTATTGAGTTTATCAATACTTACAAAGTACATTAATACGAAGATAGGCCTTATAATTATATTGCTGGATCTCTTTCGCCCCAAAATTTTACTGGTTCATTTCTGTTGTGAAGTGCTTTAGAAAGGACTGAAACATTGCTCAATTTGGAAATATCTCCCTATCTATTAGGTTCCAAAATGTGTATTGGCTGTAATTCTGGATCAGTGGGCTCTAAATTGGCTTCAGTTTTTTTGTTTTAATCGCAGAGCTGCTTTTAATGCTTGCTTAACGAAGCATGAATCATGGGAGTATGATGACTTAAGTTTTTGCCTAGGAAAAAAAATACTTGTGAACATGAATTCTTTGCATCTTCTGAATTCAGGCACTTGCGTTGGTGGCTATCTTAGTAAACAACTAATCTGGTGTGGAAGTTGGGAATGAAAGTGGAACCTTCAAGTTAAGCAGTAATGCTTATTAGGTGTGATTAATTTTCTTGGCAATGTCGAGGGTTACTAAGTGGAAGATTGAGAAGACCAAAGTAAAGGTGGTTTTCCGGCTCCAATTCCATGCTACACATGTAAGTTTCCCATTTACGCAACTTATCCTTCATTCTTTGGGTTGGTAATTTCTAATATCACCCCAAGAAATTTTGTTTTTAGGTTGTCGGAAGGGATAATAATCCCTGTAGCTTAGGGAACTCATCTTTTGCTCAAACATGATCCGAATGCACTGTGCATTTGGTCTGACTTGGCATTTAAACTTACAGTTCTTAGAAATTAGTCAAAAGTTTAATTGGAAGCATATGTTATACTCTGCATGTTTGTTAGTGTTTAACTGTCATTCTTATCCATTCACATTTTGTTTTAGCTTTTGGCTAAATATTATAAAACTTAAAATGTAAAATTTATATGTGAACTTATCATCTGAGATAATCTCCTACTAAGCCAATTTGGAACATGATCAGAACATCAAATTAATAGCAGCTTGTTGTTTTATAGGAAGCATGCCCCAGAACAGATATTAATTATTTGAATCATTTAGTTGTGTCTTGATCACTAAAATTTAGCTATCAGCTTCTCAAGATTCCCACAAATACAGCAATGCTTTACTTCTAGCCATATAGACATAGCTATAGTTAACGTGAGCTACCTATCTATGCAGCCATGTGCATATCTTTGCCTATCTTCTCACCCATTAATTATTTAGTGATGTGTGTTTTTGAAAGTAATTAGGCAGTTTTAATAACTGACAATTCAATGGTAATTAAATTTGTTTTATGACATGATTGGTTGATACATGTGCTTTTAGTTACAGGTCTGAAGGAAGTGCTAACATTAAAAAAGATCAAATTAGTTTATTGAAAAAAAGGAATAGGATCAATGACAAAAGAGACTCTGTGTTTTTGCTGCTCCCCCTTTTCCCTTCAGCCTCTAGACCCAGCTAGATGAGCTGAGTTGAAACCTTGGTTTTTTGGTTAAGAAGCTATAATATAGAATTCCAGACCACTTAAATATTCTTAAGGAAAAAAAAAATAAACAAGAGAAGCAGATGAACAAGTTACCCGTATATGTGTAAAGTGACAATATTTTCACTGGTACCAGCCTCAAACATAAGTAGTGTCAAATATCAATTTTACATAGTCTATGGCTTTAACTAAAATAAATAACATTTATATCATAAATATCCTATATTTATTATGTGATAGCTCAATTAGCAATGTGTGACGGTGGTTCTAAACTTTCATTGGATCAGGACTTTTCACCTGCGATATAATTAAAACCAAAATGATCAACTATCTTTGTGTGAAGAATGAACATATCTAGGTTTATGTCATTGTTGAAGAAGATCTAAAATTCTTGACAAAGTTTGGCAGATTGCAGCAGTAATTAGGTTCAACTTGCTCATCTTACTAAAAAATTAATCAAGCTCAAGAAAGTCCCTTGATCCTAGCATTGACTTCTTTATCGACTCAGCTATCTTCAACTCAATTTATATTAGTTGTTTCAAATGATTTATGCAGAGATCTTGACTATTGTTCATTTTAAAATTCCATCTTGAGAATGTAAAGTAAAAAGATACTTCAAGTTCTTTATCTGGTAGAGTTACACAGCCATTAATATGGTCAGCATTATTGTATTATTTCTGGTTGGGGGAAGTCATGAAGAATTTGTATTGAAGCAGTCTTCATTATTTTGTTGAAAATTTTGGACAGAATCTGTATCGAATCAGCTTTGATTTGTGACTGAATTGTTTTTAATTTTATAGTTCTAGTGCAATTACTAAGGACAAGTTTTGTTTCTGCTTGGCCTAGATTCCACAATCTGGATGGGATAAACTTTTTATCTCTTTCATCCCTGCTGACTCTGGGAAGGCTACATCAAAGACAACCAAAGCAAATGTGAGAAATGGAACCTGCAAGTGGTCAGATCCAATCTATGAAACTACAAGACTTCTCCAAGATGTTAAAACTAGACAATATGAGGAGAAGTTTTATAAAATTGTTGTGGGGATGGTAACATTCTTTTCTGACTCTTAGATGAATATAATCTATTATGCTATAGCATTTATAGAACGGTCACATGTGAAAGGCAGAAATTTAATGTGATGAAACAAATCATATTTACAGCTGAAAGCAAAAACTTTCATTATATTAGTAACTTTAATTTCTGAGATTTTGATTATATTCTCTAACAGTGTGATATAAGAATCAGAGATACTTTTGAATCATTCTTTTTAATTTAAAAAGTTTCTTATTGAAGAATAATCAGAATATGACTGGATCTTACTGTTGGGAATAAAATGTAATTAACACTATAACTCATGTAAAGAACATAACTATTTTATAGTATTTGTAAAGTTTTAGTCTTGTTATTTTTATGACAAACTATCCTCTATATTGTTGCTTGCCACCATCAGAAATACCTAAATGTTGTCTGTATTTTCTATTGAGATACATGCTTGTGACCATTAATCTTGTTAGAAGTTAGAACTTTACTAACTTTATTTTTGGCCTAACCACTTCAGGGTTCTTCACGATCTAGCATCCTTGGTGAGGCCAACATCAATCTAGCTGATTTTGTCGATGCTTTGAAGCCCACAGCTGTTGCATTGCCTCTTAATGGAAGTGAGCCTGGAGTCACACTACATGTGAGGATCTACTAACTTCATATTTTTCTTGTGTAATTTTATCGTATTAATTCATCAGTTATGAACTTATATGGTTGTGTTTGAGCACAATCTAATGGTTTATGCATTTCTGTTTACCTGGCAATGGCATATAACTTGCAAATTTTTTGTTTGAGAGTTCTTCAGTTGCTGTTGATATCATTGGTTTCACATTTAATGTTTTATTTCTCTTTCTTGTTTGAAGCCAGGTCACGGTGCAGCTTCTCACTTCCAAAACTGGTTTCAGGTACCATATATTAGCTATGACATATTGACATTTAACTATTTAAGGATGTGCTTCAGCTGAGAAGATCATATTTATTTGATGTTATTATTACTTTCAGAGAATTTGAGCAGCAGAGGGAACTCAGAGAGAGGGGTCTGCAGACATCTGATCAAGGTACTCATGATGAATCTGCTGATAGCAAAGAGTCGTCTCCTGACCAGAATGTCAATAATCATATAAATAAGGTTCCCTGTCTTCTCCTTTACAAGCATTACTCTATATATGTACTCCTATAGTCCTATTCCTATTTGCCTTCTCTTCTCTGCTTGATTGGAAGAAGATACACAAATTATTTGATACTTAACAAAGGGCCTATGACATTCATTTTAAAATATTGCATACAGAACACTCACATACATATACATACTTAGCAATGCTTTGTTCTTGGTGATGAAATATTACTGAAAAAAAAGAAAATGTGCCATCTGGTATCCATATGGAGAGTCATGTTTGTAGGCTTGATTTACTTCCTTTAAATTAACATTATTTTTTCATTTGCTTGACAACCCCCTATATTTGTTTCATGAAATTAGGTTACTTCAAGAGTGAAATTGAAAAGAGAATCTAAAGAACTCCCCCGTATTTCTTCACTTGAAGGAAATGAAGAGTATGCTGACTCAGCTGCTGGATTTGATGGCTCTTCTACTACTTCTGGAAGCATATATAATGAGAAACATGATATCTCCAGTACACATGAAGTGGACAGCCTTAAAAGCACAGTCTCTGGTGATTTGGTTGGACTATCCCTCAGTCAAAGTCCTCAGCCAGAGAAAGGAGAGGCAACTGATAATCAGTTTCCATCACGGGGCAGTGATTGGGTTCATGGTTGGGGTGTAGACTATTCAGCTGCAAATAATTTGGCTGCTGCTTCTGAAGATAGTAGTAGTAGCAAACTTAAGGGAAATTTGGAAGCAGTTGAGTCATCTATTCTTGATCTGAAACTGAAGGTGAGTTCTTTGCAAAACCATGCTGATGAAATAGGTGTTGAAACACACAAGTTTTCTGAGCAACTTGCTGTTGAGATCTCATCCGGAGAAGAGTTAGCAAAAGAGGTTGCAATACTAAAATCGGAGTGTTCAATGTTTAAAGATGAATTTGAGCAGCTTAAAAGTTCTAAGTTGAGCTTAGCATTCGCTCTCAAAGAGCCTATTGACACAGATCAGGATTTTCAAAATTTTCAGCATAAATGGATTAAGGGTCTTTTGCTCATGGAAGATAAGTTAAGAGACGTTCAGAAGTTATCCATGGGATTTCCTGAAAGGGATTTTCGGTTCCTTAACTTGGAGTTAGAAGCACTAGCTGAGATTTTGCAGAATCTCAAGCAAGAATCTGGAGAGCCAATTTCTGGGACTAAAGCTGTCAATGCAAGAGATAACAAGAAAATGGATTTACATAAAGGTGAGCAACTTTTAACAGATATCGGGATGGATGCAGGTTTATTTCAATCTGAAAGCATGACTCATTATCTTACCATACCTGGCCTTACATCTCACGAATTTGATTCTGTTGATCCTACCCTTGCAATGAAAGAAAAAGTTTTTGAACTTCTAAGAGAGCTAGATGAATCCAAAACTGAAAGAGAAAGCCTTGTACGCAAAATGGACCAGATGGAGTGCTACTATGAAGCTCTTATTCAGGAACTTGAGCAAAGTCAACGGCAGATGATGGCTGAGTTACAAAACCTTAGGAATGAACATTCTACTTGCCTGTATACAATTTCTGCTGGTAAGACTGAGATGGAGAGACTGCACCAGAATATGAATGAGCAGATGATGAAGTTTTCTGAAGACAAGCGGATTTTGGAATCTCTCAACAACGAGTTTGAGAGAAGGGCTATTTCTGCAGAAGCATCTCTTAAAAGGGCTAGATTGAACTATTCTATTGCTGTTGGTCAATTACAAAAAGATCTTGAACTGCTTTCTTGCCAGGTTCTTTCTATGCACGAGACAAATGAGAATCTCATAAAGCAGACCTTCTCTGATTCTTCACTTCCAAACACTGATGGTTGTCAAGAACCAGCAAAATATCCTAAAAGTTCAGAAGGTCATACTTCCAACCGCTTGCTATGTCAAAATCACAGTTCTTCCTTACATAGACAACATTTGGGTGAAGACATTTTACTGAGTGATTTGAAAAGATCGCTCCAGTTGCAAGAGGGGTTATACAGACAGGTTGAAGAAGAAATCTGCCAAATGCATTTTGTAAATATATACTCTGATGTGTTTTCTAAGGCTCTGCAAGAGACATTGCTCGAAGCGAGTCTTGACATTCAACTCATGAAAGAGAAAATTGTTCAACTCTCGCAGCAGCTGGAGCTTACAAATGAATCCAATGAATTACTGGTGCTAAGGCTGCAGAATGCTATGAATGATGTTGTCTCACTAAATGAGTACAAGGAGATTTGCACTGCAAAGAACAATGATATTTCTCATCAGAACCAAATTTTAGAGGCAAATTTAAAAGATCTTGCCCATGAAAACAATCTTCTTACTGAGAAAATTAATGAGCTGGAAGTTCTTCTGACAGAGTGTAGAAGTTTTGAGGGCAAATACATGGAATGCAATGCAGAAAATTCAGAGTTGAAGAGTTTATTGAAAAAAGAGACCCTAGAAAATGATGATCTTCATGATCAAATATCTGTTTTGCAGGAAGAGTTAAAAGCTATCAGAACTAAATTTGATGAACTGGCTTCTACGAAGGATAATCTGCAGAATAATGTCATCTTTTCATCTAATAAGTTGCAGAAATTGCTTGCTTCATATGAACAAAGACACAACAGACTTTCTCTTTGTAATAGATCTGCTTCTTTGGATTCGGAGTGTAAAGACTTAGAAGGTCTCTTATTGCAGCTAGAAGAGCTGCAACAGAGTGCATTTGATAGAATCCTGCAACTCACTGAAGAGAAGAAGATTTTAGTCCATGAAAAACATATGGCTCAAATATCCCTAAATACAGCAGAGTCAGATGTCGTTGTCATGAAACAGAAGTTTGAGCATGATTTGCAAGAGATGCTACGTAACATAAATGTGTTGGGTGCCTTGTTGCAGAAACTTCAGTTAGATTTTGAGGTGATCATCAACAGGATCAATACTGGTTTTGAAGCTGAAGAATTACACTCTCAGCATCACACAGAATTTTTGTCTGGTCTTGATCATTTGGAAGCTGAGCTACAACAAATTAATTCCAGAAATCAGGAGCTTGCTCAAGAAATTATAAAGCTAGGCACTTCATCTAGTGACCTTGAAATGTGTAAGCTGGCCTTAGCAACAATCACAGAGGAAAAGAAAGCTTTGGAGTTGTCTTTACAGGAAAAAATAGAGGAATCTGCCAACATTTCATCTGAGCTTAATTTTTTAAAAACAAATTTACATTCTCTACACAATGACTTACATGCTGAGAAAATTGTTAGAGAAAAATTGGAGAAAACAGTTACAGATCTTACCACAGAATTGAATGAGAAGCAATGCCAGCTGCAGGATTCTGATATGAACAGACAAGAACTGGTCCATCTCAGGCAAATGGTGACAGACTTGGAATTTGAGAAATCAAGAATCTCAAATCTTCTGCAGAAATCTGAGAAACATCTGAAAGATACTTTAGAGGAATTTTCTTCTATTAGTTATCTGGAGACTCAGTTATCTGAAATGCATGAGTCTTCCATAGCTTCAGATGTTGTTATAACATTTAGCAGAGCTCAGTTTGAGGATCATATGGAGGAGCTTACTGAGAAACTTCATTCCACTTGCAGCCAACTGGATGATCTTACCATGGAATTGAATGAGAAGCAATGCCAACTGCAGGATTCTGATATGAACAGACAAGAACTGGTCCATCTCAAGCAAATGGTGAAAGACTTGGAATTTGAGAAATCAAGAATCTCAGATCTTCTGCAGAAATCTGAGAAACATCTTAAAGATTCTTTGAAGGAATCTTCTTCTATTAGTTGTCTGGAAAATCAATTATCTGAAATGCATGAATTTTCCACAGCTACAGATGTTGTTATGACTTTTACCAGAGCTCAGTTTGAGGATCATATGGAGGAGCTTTCTGAGAAACTTCATACCACTTGCAGGCAACTGGATGCGCTTCACAAGAAGAATCTTGAAGTAGAATCTGAATTGAATGACTGTCTTTGCAGAGAACTGACTTGCATTGAAGAAAATACAACATGGTTGACAAGTATTGACTTCCTGAAATCTGAATTAGCTGTCTTGACTGCTCAGAGTGGAGCACTAATTGATCAAAATAGTGCTCTTATGTCAGAACTTAAGGAGCACAAGAGTAGGAAAGAGGTCAGCAATACTGCTTATGCTTGTGAAAGCCAGTGTGTCCTTGAGGTTGCAAAGCTAGAGCAGTTGCTGGTAAGTTGTAGCAGAGATGGTGAAGAACTCTTTTTGTCCAAGGAAGAAGCTGAACTCAAGTGTATAGTTATCCAGGCCAAATTGGAAGAACTAGAAACTGCAGTCACTTCATTAAAACAATCAGATAATGAATTGATAAGGCTGCAGAACCAATGTAATGAGCTTACCAAGAGGCTTTCTGAACAGGTTTTGAAAACAGAAGAGTTTAAGAACTTGTCTATTCATTTGAAGGAACTGAAAGACAAAGCTGAAGCTGAGTGTCTTAATGCCCGTGACAAAAGAGGACACGAAGGACCACCGGTTGCTATGCAGGAGTCCTTGAGGATTGCGTTTATCAAGGAACAATATGAAACAAAGTTGCAAGAACTAAAACAGCAACTGTCTTTGTCAAAGAAGCACAGTGAGGAAATGTTGTGGAAACTACAAGATGCAATTGATGAAACTGAGAATAGAAAAAAGTCTGAAGCTTCTCACATAAAAATTAATGAAGAGCTGGGAATGAAGATCTTGGAATTGGAGGCTGAGTTACAGGCTGTACTTTCTGACAAACGCAATTTGTTAAATGCTTATGACCTGGTGAAGGCTGAAAAAGAGTGTTCAGCAATAACCCTTGAATGCTGTAAGCAAGAAAAGCAAGAGCTTGAAGCTTCTCTTGTAAAATGCAATGAGGAGAAGTCCAAAATTGAAGTAGAGCTTACCTCAGCAAAGGAATTGATTGAGACTTTGAGATCTCATGCGAACGCTCTGAGTGAGGGCAATGATACATCCTCTTCATTGAATCCTCAAGAAAAATCTACTCATGCAGCTTGCAGTCATGACCCAGAGAGTGCTAATTCACTCATCAATGTGAAACCTGAGGTAACTGACTTATTTATTTATTTTTATAATTTAGTTACTATTTCATAAAAGAATAAATTGCCATGTTAGAGCTAAAGCATTTGGAATACATTTTGCCTGATTGTAATTGTTGCGCTAGAACAAAATCTTTCTACACTTGTAGGTCTTCTCATCTCAATTTCATTCTTTTTCAACATTTTGTTCTGGACAAGTTAGTAGCAAATTAGCAATTAATTTTTTTATGACAAATAAGTATCATCCTATGAAAAAAATTATTGTTAAAACTATTTATACTAATTAAATGCCAAAGTCTAGGGATTTTGTTTGTTAAAAAACACAATTCTTTTTTCTAATGGTTTGTACAATGTTTATAACAAGTTAAAAACCCTGTTATCAAGCTCTTACAAGTTACAATTGAGTATATTGCTAATGTTTTCAATGCATGTAACAAATAAAACAGAAGTTTCTCTGTTGAGAATCTTAACTGCCTACAATAGAAGTCTGATATTTTCAATGATCTTAGAAACTTATTGTCTTGCTATATAGATTGTTACTATGTAGGTACTATGTGTGTGTAGAAGAAAATTGCTTGATTTTTTAACTGATAACTTTTCACTTAGGTTAATGAGGATATCTTCCAAGTTCAGTCAAAGGCATTGGCATGCTTAGAATAAAAAGTGGGAGCATACATATGAGAGAAAGAAACTTTGGAACTGATAATCATTTTTTTTTTCCCTAGTCATCTTTGTTTCCTATATTTGCCCTCGATCTTAGCAAAGCCTTTAATTTTGAAGAAAAAGTTACATAATTTCTCTTAATGCAATTTTCAATGTATTCCTTCCTTCATCAATCTTGAGTGGTTTTCTTTAACAATATATTTGCATGATTATTTGATAGGATCCTCTTGCATTTAGAGTTATGAATGGATGCCAAACTCTTGGAACTGATGAGGACTTGCAACATGAAGTAAAGAAGCATGTGGCTTCAACTGAAAGTTTGAAATCTAGCATTGACCACTTGAATGAGGAGGTATTATTTTAAAATGCACAAACAAGATAGGTGTAATTATTTGCCCCTTTTTAATCTATTCTACTTTCCATTACCCTTTGCTTTATTCCTCCAGTCTTACTCCTTGTCTAATATCATACACTAGGGAACACATAGTTTTTGCATTTTCTGGGTCCTTGAGTTGCTGCATTTATAGTCATGTCTGATGCCAATCTGATCCCTAAATTGTGTTTTCGGATTGCAGTTGGAAAGGATGAAAAAGGAGAACATGCTTCCTTCAGCAGATGGTCATAGTCACGAGCCAAGTTTTCCTGGTGTGCAAAGAGAACTGATACAGCTACATGAGGTAAATGATTCTTGTTGCATGCATCGAATGCTATGAAGCATACATTTGTCTAGATTCTTATTAATTTTGTACTTTGCTCAGGCCAATCAAGAGTTGGGAAACATATTCCCTGTGTTTGATAAAATCTCTGTCAGTGGCAATGCGTTAGAAAGGGTGCTTGCTTTGGAGATTGAGCTTGCTGAAGCTTTGCGGGCAAAGAAGAAAACAAGCATTCAATTTCAGAGGTATTCTCTTCTTTGTAACAGTAATTAGATTTGATAAATAAAGTTGCCATTTTAGAAGGACCTCATGTTAAGATTCCTCCTCTTTCTTCACTCAATTATAAAACTTTGCACTCTGGAAGTTCAATGCATCGTTAACATTTCATGTTTTGGCTGTCAATTACATTTCTAACAAGTAAATTTCTGATTAGCATTTGTTTGTTAGTGGATAAATGTGATGATCAGCATTTCTTTTGTAGTTGACTTTGAATGTCGTAGTGTTTCTTCCCTACTATTAAATATTTACTTCAAGGCAATTTCTATCCTTTTCTTTAGTGTACTAAAGTGTAGCACTGGTTTGCTAGTGGATCAAAATAATGTTCAGCATTTCTTTTGTAGTTGACTTCGAGTCTTGGAGTGTTTCTTCCCTACTATCAAAAAGTTACTTCAAATAATTTTTATCCTTTTTTAGTCTACAGAAATGTAACACTTGTTTGCTATTAGGAAAATATAATGTTCATCATTTATGTAGTAGTTGACTTTATAAGATGCTCACATTTAATAAAAAATCATTCAACCACAAAGTTTGAGATATTTTTTCTCCTATGTTTCAGCTCTTTCGTGAAACACCATAGTGATGAAGAAGCTGTATTCAGAAGCTTCAGAGATATTAATGAGCTTATTAAAGACATGTTAGAACTAAAGGCAAGACATTCAGCTATTGAGACAGAACTGAAAGAGATGCATGACCGTTACTCTCAATTAAGTCTTCAATTTGCAGAGGTTGAAGGTGAGAGACAAAAACTCATGATGACTCTTAAGAATACTAGAGCATCTAAGAAGGCTTCAAATTCATCAGCCTATTTCGGGGACCATTCCTTATAGCCACATTAAGGAAGCATTTTTTGCCCCGTTGCACAGGCCAATAATAATTCATGCTTGATTAAGATTAAGATATTCGTGGCCCCATCATATCTTCCCTTTGACATATATATAGATTATGCTATATAAGGGGCCCCATCAACTATAGCCAGGGTTATATTTTTGCAAGGGTAGCTGTGGCATTGTCTCATTTTCAAAGTTAAGCAACAGATAATAATGTGTAAATAAAATAGTTTGTGTTAAGAATCCAAGTATATATCTTTGTAACATCTTTTACCTGAGCCTAAATGCTGTAATTGTTTTTCTGTACAGGAACACAAGATTATTTCTATTTATTTTTTTTTTTTTTGTGACAACTTGCAATTAAAACCTGGTTAAACCAAATTATCTGGGTTGATTGTTAACTCAACGTTAAGCTATTAATTAGTTTAAGCTGTGAAGTGAGAATCAAATTGGTGGTATCCAGATATTAATTCTCTTTTTGCAATTTTCTCTGAGGAGAAATTCTTTTCTAATTTTAATTTTGTCAATTTCACAATAATAATTGCCTGTCTCGGACATGATACATAATCGAGGGCTTTTCTGGGTATGATATATTGGTAACGTCTCACTTTAAAAAAATTACTTGAAACAAGCAAAGATCTATTTTCATTTTATGTAGAAGGGAAATGAAAATAAAATTGGCTATTAAAAATAAAAAGAATCTATCACCATAATATATGAACTAATTGATAAATGTAAAATCGCATAAAAGAATAAATTAATCTGATATACATTATTTTTTGAAAAATTTATAAATAAAATTATATTTCTAGGTATTTATACATTTGGGTTTATCAGTTTCATTTAAACTCATATTGTTTTTCGTTTATAAATTAAATATTCTATTAATGTTTTAAATAAATATTTAATATCTTTGAAATTATATTTTATCATATCCCAAAATAATAATTAAAATAAGCTATAAGTGCAAATGCTATTTTAAGTAGTATATAAAAAAACATTTTCAGTTGGTGAGATAAATTTACTTACTAAGCACCTTTATTTTAATCAAATATATAAATTGGGCAAGTGAAACTTTCTGTTTTGTTACTTTTACGATACACAGTAATACTTGTTCCTTTCATTTTGTACTTTGGTCTTCAAGACAAGTAATATTAATAAGCCCAAAAAATTTCACAAAAGTATATTTAAACCAAAAGTCTTTAGAGATCGCTTGTATTAAATGTTCATTCGTGTCAAAAATAAAAATCATGCAACATGAAATTATTACTATTTTTCTACAAAGAATGTTACCAGTATATATTTTTCAATATTCTATCACTTGATTATATCCCATACTTATTTAAAAGTTAAGATACAAATAAATTTTTAGTCTTTGTATATTTGTAAAAATAGAATAAAATTTAGTTGTTATTTTATTTTTGTAAGATTTTAATTTTAGTTCTTAAAAAATTAGTTTTAATTCTTAATTGTTTAAATTCAATACTTTATTTTCCTTTATTGACGTGACCTAACAAAAAATTACCATGTCATTACTAGAGATTAAAAGTATTAAATATATAAAAGTTAAGACAAATTAAAATCTACAAAAATATAAAGATAAAAAATATGTTTAAAGCAAAAAGTAATAACGTGTCGTGTATGTCTGCACACTACTCAACTTGTGAAAATCTATGTAGGCATCATCAGGTCACAGTTTGAGTGCCGCACATCCAAACAAATAATTCTAGAGAAGTGCAAGGAATTGAATTCATGTAATATTTCTCTGTATATTCAATTTCCTCCTGAAATTCAGGAACTATTCATCCAAACACAAAGTGATAAATCGCTCTAATATTATTCTGGCATATCAATAATGAAATTGACAGCTTCTAAGGGACTTATTTACCTCGTATTAAAAGATCAATAGGTACATGCTCTAGCTATTACAACATTCGAACAACACTTTCCTGACACAAAATATAAACGGACTAAACCCCATTCCCGTAAGGCTAAGGCTAATTCGTGGAATGCAACGAACTGATACATTCACAGGGTGTCACATTTAGCTAGATATCAATAACTTGACAACTGACTAGTTCAGCCTGCCCAAAACCCCTACTGGCAACTGCCTTCCAAACAACTGCATCTGATTCAGCAGCGGGTTCCAGAAATTCATGCAAGGAAATTTGTGAGAGAGTTGAGGACGATGGTGATGAATCCAAATTATTGCGCAGGTCAGCCCGCAGAACAGCAATATCATGATTGGCATCTTTTGTAATGACATGTAGCTTTCCATGGAAACCAGCAAGCAGATATGGAGACTCTGAATCAGCATAATCATATATGGGAACTTTTCCAATAACTACTTTCCAAGCATCTTCACCTTTATCATATACCTTTATCCTTCCACTATCCATAGAATTAGAAGGATCAAAAGCATATAATTCACCTTCCACTACAACACTCAATTTCGTACCTGCCTGCTTTGCAGGCCAACCCTCACCCATTCCAGCTGGCATTTCAATCCATGAGTTAGTTTCAGGATCATATATTTCTCCCCCAACATCGACGAAAAAGGGCCATGAATACAAACTCTGTGGAACAAACAACCTTCCCATATATGAGGTCAACCCTGTGGCAATAGGCTTCAACATGTCAGCCAAAAAAGCATTGGGCAGGACCTGAGCTTTAGAGAATGGCATACTAGGTACTTGTGACCATGTATCTGTAGAGGGGTCAAAAACTTCCGCCGACTGAAGAGGAACCAGTCCAGCTTGACCTTGACAAACCCCTCCAACAACATAAAGTTTGTTATTTAAGATGCCTGTTTTACAATATGCCCGACCTGTAGACATGGAAGTCACCCTGCTCCACGTATTTTGCATTGGATCAAATCGCCAGACACATCTCATAGTTGAAGCCTTAGAGAATCCACCAAGAACATAGAGACATCCATCAACAGCTCCAATTGCAGAACCGCAAAAGGGCATTTCATCAAATGCATCCTTCTGTCCAAGAAAGCCTCTAATAACTTCAGCAATTCTGATACCTTCCACCATGTTCCAAATCCAAGGCCTAGAAGAACCCTTTCTAGATTCTTCTTCATCAACAGCATTGGGCATATTAGGCAGCCTCTGCCATATCTTAGAACAAGGATCAAGAGCATGCCACAGAAGTTTATTTTCTCCAACCTTAATCAACAGATATAGCCACTCTTCCGTTGTCCCCAGCTCTTTTCTTACTTCATATAGTTCTGGACTCATGATAGTTGACTTCCACTTCCTTGACACCAGCCTTAGCTTGAAGTAACAAATTCTAGGAAGTCTAGCAATAATCTGAAGAGATAACTCGTCAGGGAGATTAGGAATTAGTCTCGGAATCTCTTCATCAACAGTAGGAGACATTCTTTGCCTCTTACACGTTTCATTTGGAGAGACTCCATTCCACTCCCTTGGCTCAGATTTGGTATTCACCACACTAAAAAATGAACCCATATCTGGCACTATTCAGTATCTGCATGAAAACCAACTCATCAGGAGAGGAAATTTGACTTCTCAAAACTAAACGCATCCCACAGTTGGAAATTAAAAAAAGACAGAAAAGCAGTATAAGCAGACAAAAATCCATCAGTGACAACAGACAAACGAGAAGATGCAATTCTGAAGTAAGAGTAGAAACAGGTTTTGTCACTCGTTTGGAGATTATGGCCTAGCCTAAGTCAGATCAAACTTATTCATTAAATAAGTTAAAGCAAGACTTTTCTAAAAGTCTTTTTAGTTAAAAAGACTAAGTTTTGTGCCATAAAAAAATTGTTTACTTAACTTATTTAAGTAAAGCAAAACATATGATGTTTTATTAACTTCAACCCTTAAAATTGGGCTTAAACATCTAAAAGAAGTAAGTTTTTGTTAGAAAAGAAAACATTTATTATAGTAAAATTATAAAAGTAAAATAAATATATTTTTTTAATAAAATATCACTATTACTAATTGCTTAAATTTTTTTTAAAATATATTATTATTATTATTAATGTAATGTTTTAAGATTATATATTTGTTTTATTTAAAAATTTAAGTCTGATAATTTAAATATAAATTTAAGCTTATTAGCCTATTTAAGGGAGTAAGTCTTTTTTATCTATTTGAAAGAGTATCTTACAAACAAACTTTTAAGTGTTTGTTTGTTTAAAGTTAAATAGAATTATTATATTTTTTTAAATCGACAGTTATGATTGTTTAAATATTTTAAAAATTAAAAAATATTTATATCTTTAAAGATGGATCATTGACTTTTACTATTTATTATATATATTTAATATAAAATTAATAGTTATGATTATTCCAAAAAAAATCCTATCTTAATCTTTAAAGCATTGTAGAAATTGTAGAAGTTACAATTAATATTAATGAAAGCAATTTTAAACAGTTAAATACGATTGAGATGAGTACATAAATTAATCTGACCAAAATTTTTTAATTGGTTTATGTGTTTTATTAGAAAGAACAGGCTTGATTCTCTTATTATAAAACAAATAACCGCTAACAGGCTTACAAGTCCTTCCTTAAAAATAGTAAAATTTCAAGTAACCAGGCAGACATGGGCCTTAAATTCAGAAATTAGGACTTACAAGACCTAACTCAGCACAGCTTATTTCCACGACATTTTAACAAGGTAATCAAAATTTTCCCTCTTGAAGAACATAGATAAGCAAAAACTCCAATATTACACCTCCGCTCCTCAGTCCTCAAAATGAAGAAAATAGAGACAATTGATTTGAAATAAAATTTATAAAATCTTCTCCGCTATGGCCATATAGAAAAAATAAGAAAAGAAAATTTTCACATCATTCCAAAAACTAGAAGATGCAGATCCAAGCCCATCCAGACCTGAAGCACAACGGAAAGAAACACACTAACCTAAACAGCGTATCAGAACTTCACCTTTCCCTGATGTAATTTAGTAAGAACAAAAAAGTTCTCAAACTATTTCATCATAAAATAAATCACAGTTTTCCGCACAGCACTTGTAAGAAACTTATCCCATACACAAAAACTTGAAACGATGCGCATTGATTTTGAACAGTAAAATTAGAGTGACGCCACTAAAAGTACAATTAATTGAAGTAAATGAGAAAAACAAGGAATCTTAGAGAAAGAGATACTTACAGTGAAATAAATAAAAAGGAAATAGCGATTCAGAATCAGATATATATGATAAGATCGATACGATTTACGAAAAGAATGAGAAGGGAGAAAGGGCAATACCTGGCAGAGCTGGTAAGTCGAGAAGTGGATTGAAGCATCAAACGAAGGGAGAATGATGAAAACGTAAAAGTGAGAGAAAGTGGTATCGGATTTGCATACATCATCACATGATACACACTTCAACAAATTGAACTCTGTTCAAATTCAATGTTCAAGCTCTCCCAAATTTCCACCTCCAATCCATTGTTAAATATCAATCGCTCTAACACGTGCCTCTACGGTTGAATACTTTAATTCATTCCTTTATAATATTATATATATATATATATATATATATATATATATATATATATATATATATATGTATGTATGTATATATTCAATCAAAATAACATGATGTAAACGGAATCAATGGATAACTGATATCACTGTTTTAAAATACAAAATTTGCATAATTAAGTAAATTATTGTTTATAATTCACGTGTTTATAATAAATTTACTTTGTGAAGATAAAATATGCTAAATTGTTTATTAAAAATTATGAGATTAAGGTTTTAATAATTTTATACTTTATTATACATATAATGCTTTCGTTAATTATTATAATTATATTTATTCTTAAAATATTTTACTTTAATGTAATATTAAATTTAAAGAAAATAAGAGAAATGAAGGATTATTTTAGAATAAAGAATTAAATTCATAAAAAAATTATGGTAAAAAAACTTGTTAAATATTGACGTTGGAAATAACTTATAAAAAATATATTTTTAAAATTATTTCAATTACTTTTAATATATTTTATCAAAATAATAGTTTAAAAAACTATTAAATAAATACTTAAACAAAATATGTTTTTAAATATGTTTTAATTTATATTTTGTTTAACTTATTTTAATAAAAAATTATTTATTTATTATTATTTAATAAAATAAATTTTGAAGTAAAATAAGTAATATTTTATTACTGATTAATTGAAACATGCATTGAATTTTATTTTTCAGTCAACAAAAGTCTGTTTGATATTACTATCTGTTGTTGTTTTTTGGTCAACAAATATCTGTTGGGCCTTGGAATTCAATTTTGTTATTTTTGACCTTATACCAAACATTCCATTTGTCTTCATCCACTCCTTTCTATCATCCCTGTATGTTTCTCTGCCCAAACTGTATTTTTGTCTTCATCAATCCATATTATATAAGGTAAAGTAAGTTTGCGCAATACAAATAACTATTTTTAATTTAATTTAGAATATTTTACAATCTTAACTTATTTAAATTGGAAATATTTTTATTTTATTCTTTTATAACTCCCAAATAATTTTAATTTGGATTAACTTTTTTCACATCTATCCACTCTGTCATTTAAGTTACACTGGATCTAATTATATTATTATTATTCTTAGTTTCTAATATAAAAAGAATAAATCATGTAATGGAGAAGTGACTTCAAAACAATTGGTTATATTATTAAGAGAACATCAAATTTGATTAATATCATATAGTTTTAAGATTTATACCATGCACGTTTTATGTTCACGATATCGCGTATCTGTTGTCTGTCATCAATTTTTCTTTTTTGGGTTTTAATATAATAATATGCAATTATATTTAAAAAAAAAATCGAATTGCATCATGTTAACTTAAGGGTCTACCTAATTTCCGGAGGAAAGTGAAAGAACGATTTTGTATCTTGAAATAAAGTTTTATTAGCAGCTCTTGAAAATGTCCATATAAATGTTGAGAAGAAAACAATTACCCCTAGCGGTACCTATTTATGTATTTATTTTGATGGCGAATTCACATGACTGGAGTCATGGGCCGAAAAGCAGCAGAACCGGGCCGGCCCAAGTAAGGATGGGCATCTCCAAGTCCAATTCCAGTGCCCTTACAGAAAGAGTCCGAATCTTTAACCAACCCATCACCACCATACGTAACGCACTCACGTAAATCCTCATATCGCTCATTCTCCTTCACCTCTTCCTCAAATTCGAAACCACCGTCGTCGTCGTTGTCATCAAGTTCCAATCCTTCAGTCTCTTCGTTAAACTCAAGATCTTCCAACTCATTCTCATCATCCATGGGGTATCCACACTCCTCACAGTAAACATCATCATCATCCTCGTCGTCGTCGGAGACCAACCTCATGACGAGTCTACCATTTTCTCGACGAGATTCTATATACTCGCAACGCCTCACTCTCTCCGCTGTTATGATTAACCTTCCATCGTCGCTACATTTTCTTTTGAAATTCCAAGCCATTCGTCCCTTTTCTCTCAACAACGTTATCGGCGGCGGAAGCTCCCTCCTCTTAATTCCGCTCCTCTCTCTTCCTCCTCTCACTTTTGAACTCTCGCTTTCGACCTTCACTTCCATATCCTCAACTACATCGCCGCTCATGCAGTCTCCACTCTCCGTTCCAATAACGTCACCTATCATAGTGCACCGGAACGCCGGTGACGATGATGACCAGAATGGTAATCGCCGTGGCGGAGAAGACGGCTTCGGTTTTGTGGTTGGTTCTAATTTGTAGCAATGTAGAATTCTTGGGAGTGGTTTTTCGGAATTATGAACTAGGGTTTTGAGTCCTACTTGGAGACTGCATTCGGTATTGTCTGTGCGGCGTCGTTTTGTATTGTTTTTGGAGGGGAACGGTAGCTTGGCTTTCAACAACAATATGCAGCTATTAAGCGATGAAGCTATCGACTCCACCTTGTGTGATATGTATTTGCTCAACATCTCCATCTATGTCGCTACGCACCTATCTATCCGGCAATTCTATATCCTGAAAGAAATTAAAATTAATTACGGATGGATTTTAGTTGATATAGTTGGAAGTAAATTATTTTTTTTTTTATATGTTGTTAATATAATAAATGAATAAAATTTGAAAGGAGTGATGGATTTGAATTGTGAAAATGATAAAAGAGGAAATAATATAAAAATTAGATAAGAACAGGATAGTAAGATAAGAATAACATTGACTCTTATCTTATTTTATAGTTAATATACACTTAAATGATACATTAGATATATTTTATTATTTTAGTCTATTGATTTTTAATTAGACCTCCTACAAAATAAAATTTGTACAATAAAAAATAAGAAAATTTTATAGAATATATTTATTTTATATTTAATATATATCAAAATAAATTGATCACATTTTTTTAATTATACAAACATTAAAAATAAAATCAATAACTTATTTTATCATATTTTCTTATGCTGTATCTGTCAGTATTTATGTATATAGCATATAGCATCTTTCTTGTGTATATTTCGCTTAGTCCCTCTGCAAAAAGGCCACTCCCAACCTAGGCTTTCCGTGTGCACTGTGCAGGGGCAAACATAAATTTATTTAAAAAAAGAAAAAGAGAATTATTGTGTGTCTTGATCATGAAAATAAAAAATAAAGAGTTGACCGGTGTTTTTATGATTAAAAATGGAAATGATGGCTTTTAACAGGGTGGAAGAAGCCGATTGTTGAAGATAACATGACTTTCACATTCTCACACGATATATTAATTAAAATTTATTAAAAATTATATTTTTTTCACTTTTTTTACTAGAAAATGTTTTTTATAAAAAAGTGCACTAAAGAGTGCATTCTTGACGCTCGTCTCTTCTGAACCAGAGTGGCAAAGAAAATTAAATTACAAAAATGCAGAATCGAAACTGTGGCTTTGGAAAATTAAATTGCTTTTGAGAGGTTCAAGCATACTGGGCTGAACCAGAAAACTGAATTGAACAAAGCTGTACGATCTGAAACTAGTACTAAAAGACTGAATGAGACACATGTTATGGTATTAACAAAAAAAAACAAAGGACATGAAAGGAGAAGAGATCTTACAGTCAGTGAGGCCGCATCACATCATTTTCTCTACCGCCGAAAAAGATCGGAAAAGGACAGAAAATGAAAGAAAAAATCACTACACACACTTAAAATTGAACTCATTTGTAATACAAATGCATCGCACACCGAAAATTTAGTGTGACGAAATGAAAGGGTGGTATTTATAGGAGGACTTAAGGTTTCACAGTGGAACCCATATAAGAACAGCATTACCTTATAAATACCCCTCAATTGGCTTTACTCAGGAGTTGTTGAGACCGAGAAACAGACACAAACTGACACGGGCCCACACCAGGTTCGAGGATATCAAGGTCTTTTGCAGCAGTATGTTAGAAAACCCTGGTTCTTTATGGTCTCCATTTTGAGAAGGAAAATGCCTTGTAGAAAGACATGAAATGAAATAGAGAAAGAGAAAAAATAAAAAATAAAAAATAAAAATGATAAATGTGATAATAGGTAATATGATGTGACAGGAAGAAAGAGGTAAAAAAAATACGAAGTGGCCCATTGCTCTAGTGAGTCTGAGCTAGCCAAGCGTTATGAATGAAGGGAGCGTTGTGAGTAGAGATAAAAGTGGCGCAGAGGATAAGAGAGAAAGCATCTGCATTCATCAACAACACTTCAACAGTTTTTGTTGGCTTTTGTATCTCTGGCTGGCTTCCATGTTTGGTGCCAGCTTGGTTCCTCCCTTTCTTTACTGACCACTCTTGTGACACGTAACTTCTTTCTACTGTCTTTATTTTTCCTATTTCATTCAATCATTGTTTTAACGTCAGTCTAAAATTAATTAATAATTTTTTTAAAATTATAGCATTTATTATTATTAATGCATTAAATTCTACGATGTTTGATAAAAATTTACTATAACAAGTTTAACATGCGTTAGAAAATTTGTTTATAGAATTGTATTTACATTGTAATCATGCTAATATTAAATTTTAATTGACACCCTCTTTATTTGATTAATTGGGTTTAATTGGGTGTAGAATTGTATATTGTATAAATGTTATAACAGCTAAATGTATAAATGATAATTAACTCTCATCAATACTGTTCCGTTTTCGAATTGTATATTTCACTATGTATATCTAGAAAGAAGTTAAAATATACCAGGCGTTTAACGTGTTCTATGTTGAAATGCTTCGTTTGGTTCACTGCTGATAAGTGATGATTCATGCATGAATCAGACTAAAAAATCCAAAGTATATGGTGCATTGTGTAACTGGGTGTAGAATTGTAGCAACAGAAGAATGCTGCAGCGGGTCTCGACTTTGATTATTTGCATCGTGGGCCACTGGGACGTGGCAATGCCAATTCAATATTATGTTGGCTGTTAGACTGCTACAATATGTTTTACGTGAGAATTCTAAGTTGAATGTTTGTCCCTGCAATCAAATGCTTTAAAGTTCACGAAAGGATATA